ATTTTATTTATTTATTTGACAGAGACACAGCAAGAGAGGGAACACAAGCAGGGGGAGTGGGAGAGGGAGAAGCAGGCTTCCCGCGGAGCAGGGGGCCCGATGCGGGGCTCAATCCCAGGACCCTGAGATCATGACCTGAGCCGAAGGCAGATGCTTCATGATTGAGCCACCCAGGCTCCCGAATACATAGTACTTTTGGAGTGTTTAATTTTTCACGGGGTGTTTATATACCTGTGGTTATCTCATTTTAAATCTCTTAGTGACTTGGTATTATATGAATTGTCATTTCAAGATTAGAAATTGGGAAGTTAAAGATAATATACAAGCTAACTCAGAACAGTGCTTTTTCTACTTCTCAAGACAGTTTATTTGTGTAGGTGTATTGCTTTTAAGAATACATGCATTGATAACTATCCAAAGAGACTTGTACTAAAATGCTAACAGTGCTTATATCCTGGCTGGTGGGATTTTGATTATTTTTAATGCTTTAATAGGTATTGTTTATATTTTCTAACAATGCATGTGTGTCATTTTTTTAATCAGAAAAAATAAAAAGTGTACACTGAATCTAAATAGTCCAGTGAGAATAAAGAGTATTTGAAGTCAGGTGATATGACCAAATCATCTTTTCTCTGCAGACACGTCAAGTTCTTGAAGAGCTGACTGAGTTGCCTGTTATGGTGGAGCTTGCCAGTGATTTCCTGGATAGAAACACGCCAGTTTTTCGAGATGATGTTTGCTTTTTCATTAGTCAGTCAGGTATGCTAATTTTAAAGACTTGAAGGAAAAGGAAGTCATTCAGTTATAGCATATCTTGGCAAAAACTGATATTTAACGATAAACAGGTATTGCAGATGACCTGACAAATACAGTAATTTATATTGATATTATGTAATTCTCTGTGAATTAGTAAAATTAACACATTTTATACTCAAGGAGCTGAGTTTTCAAAGACAAAGAAAGAAAGGAGATCCTAAAAAGTAGGAACTTACTATTCAAAGTTTTACAAATTTATTAAAGTGCATGTTTTTTGTTGTTGTTTTAGACTTATTTATTTTAGAGAAAGCGTGCATGCAAGCTGTGGGGCAGCGTGGGTGGTGCAGAGAGGGGAGAGAGAGAATCTCAAGCAGACTGCCCGCTGAGCATGGAGCCTGATGTGGGGCTCGATCACAGGACCCTGAGATCATGATCTGAGCCGAACAAGAGTCGGACGCTCAACCAACTGAGCCACCCAGGCACCCCTAGTGCATGTTTTAAATTTTACTTAAAACAAATGATACTGTTGGGACGCCTGGGTGACTCAGTTGATGAAGCATCTGCCTTTGGCTCAGGTCATGATCCCAGGGTCCTGGGATTAAGTCCCACACTGGGCTCCTTGCTCAGCGGGGAACCTGCTTCTCCCTCTGCCTGCCGTTGCCCCTGCTTCTGCTCTCTCTCTCTTTCACGCTCTCTGGCAAATAAATAAGTAAAAAATCTTAAAAAAAAAAAACCAAAAACCAAAATAATACTGTTGAAAGTGAAAGTGAAACTTTTTTGTTTTTGCATCTAAGAAACAGTGTCTGCTGACTGCTCTGTGTGTTACTTTTGTCTTCCTTTTTACATAGGTGAGACAGCAGACACCCTGATGGGTCTTCGGTACTGTAAGGAGAGAGGAGCTTTAACTGTGGGGATCACGAACACCGTGGGCAGCTCCATATCGAGGGAGACAGACTGTGGCGTTCATATTAATGCTGGGCCCGAGATTGGTGTGGCCAGCACGAAGGTAAGTTCCTGACTTAGTTCTCTTGGTTATCTAATCATAGTACTGGTGGAAACACACTAATCCATACCATATAGTTCATTTGTTAGCACTTATAGAACTCCTGTAGTTTACCAATCATTGTAATTATTGTAAGGTTTAATGGTCAATAGTAGATAAAACACTTATCTTTCCGTCCCTCACTCCCATCTTAAGAGGTTAAAAGGGACAAGTGTATATAACATACATGCTGGCTGTTTCCATTCATCACTTATATTCCTCTTGCCGGTGCAGCGGGGTACATGGTAAGTCTGATGTCCTTCTTTTATTAAGTATAGTAGGGAATTAGAAAAAATAACAGATTAGAAACCTCCAGCTTAATTCTAATCATTTTTGACATTTTAATTTACATACTCATAGCTTCTAATAAATATACCAAAATATACATATTACCTGTGAAAGTTTGTAAGGGGGTGTACACTTTTTGGTATAAAATTTGCCGATTTAAAAAAATTAAAATGAGTATTATATGACAATATCTGTTTCTCCACTGTACCTGTGGACACTTAAAGCACCTTTTTTTTTTAAGGCCTATTGAGACTGTTTGTCTCTTTGAAATTGGAATATCCATAAATTTAGTATTAGTAATAAAAATAAGAATCTTAAAATACAAAAGATGTTCTCTTTCCACAGTTGTATTACTCTTTATGATTTCAACATTTCTGGTTTTCTGCTTAAGCATAATATTTACTGCTGATGGTCTAATAGGATGCGTAGGTACTGGTGGATTTGATTCTAATTAAGGGTGTGTGGAAGATGATGTTAACATGTACAGAACCACATTTGAATTTTTTTCCTCTTCAGAATTTTTTTTTTTTAATTTGTGATTCTTATGTAAAAACTCTGAGGTTTTTTGTTTCTTGGTTACTTTGATGTTGCTAACACTGTAATTTACAGAAAGCTGAAACCTGAATTTTCTCCATGTGGTAATTAAAACATGTAAGATGTTTGTGCTTGGGTTTCCATTCTGTGCCTGAATAAATAACCAGCTGCCCTCAGCAGCAGCTTATGGATTTTTGGAACAGTATCCAGACAGCTTTGATCAGGGATTGGAATTCCAAGGCCCCTTTATTCACAACACATGGTGAAACAAGGCCTTCACCATAGTATATGTGGGATATGGGGTCATACCACTGAATGGGTGCTCTTGACTTACCTTTTTAAAAATCTTTCTTGAGTCTGTGTTGGTGGTATAGTGGTGAGCATAGCTGCCTTCCAGAAATCTTGCTTGAACTGTGAGCTGCCAGGGGAATTACAGTTTTTTGATTTCTAATTCTATTGTTCACAAAAACTTCAATTTTCTCAACATTTTATTAAATTTATTTTTAAGATTTTTTATTTATTAGAGAGAGCACAAGGGGGAGCTGGGAGCAGAGGGAGAGGGAGAAGCAGACTGCCCACTGAGCAGGGAGCGCAAAGTGGGGCTTGATCCCAGGACCCTGAGATTGTGAGCCGAGCGGAGGGAAGCAGATGCTTAACCATATGAGCCACCCAGGCGTCACTTCTCAACATTTTATTATGATTATTTTCAAACACACAGCGAAGTTAAAGGAATTTCATATTAACACCCATATACGCATCACCTAGATTCTACCATTTTTTTCAGTTCTGTTGAGGTATAAATTTCACCACCGTAACATTCACCAATATTCAGTGTATAGTTTTAGTAAATTTGGCTGTGTAACTGTCACCACAGTCCTGTTTTAGAAGACTAACTCACTTGAAAAAAGTTCCTTTTTGCCTTTTTACAGTCAACCCCCACTCCTACCTCTCAGCCTCAGCCCGAGGCAGCTACAATTGCTTTCTCTTGCTACACTATGTCATCTTCCAGAAATTTCTTATAAATTGGATTGTATAATACAGGTCTTTTGTGTCTGGCTCCTTCTGTTTAACATATGGTGAAACAAGGCTTTCACCGTTGATGTTTTTGAGTTTTTTTTTCATGTTGTTATTTCTAGCAGTAGCTCTCTTTCTTGCAGGTCCTTTTTTAAAAATCTTTTTATTTTGAAATAACTATAGGGTTTATAGGAAATTGCAAAGATAGTAGAGAAGTCCATGTACTTCTTACCCAGTTTCCCCCAATGGTTACGTCTTTTTTTTTTTTTTTGGTTACATCTTGTATAAGAAAAAAAAACATCTTTTCATAGCACATACTTTAATTAATGTCTTTAAAAAAATAGCTCCCTTAAAAATTTTAGTAAGTATGGCAGTTTAGTCTTACTTTAATTTTTCTTGGACTCCAAAGTAATTTTGTTTTCTTCAACTGCCTTAGACATTCTGGGCTTGGAGTTAACAAAAGTTTTGCAGTGTTTAGTCATAGAGCGTTTCTGAATGGCAAATATAAGTTTATATGTTAATAGGTGATCAAAGAAGTTCATCATTGGTCCTAATCCCTGGCCCTGTGATGGACCTAGCCTAAGAATTCTATAATCTTGTTTATAAATCCCGAACTTCACCTGAAAAACTCAGGGTTAGAGAGATTACTAAGTTTCTCATAATAACAGACCATAGACAGTTTGATATTTCTGTAAGAATTGATGGGCATAAGTGTGCAGATGTAGCAGTTTTTTATGTTATTGCAGGTGTTTAAAATTTAACCACAGTACTGACTTATGTTGATTTTTAAAAATAAACTGATACAAGCTTTTGGCTGAATATAAAGTAAAACCAAGTTTAAAAGTTCAGAGTCAACATTTTCCTGGTAAATTCTTTCAAACCTCAGTAAATTCTAAGTGTGAGGTGTAACTTACTTTTCTCATAATTGGTTTTCTGGTATATATTGGTGAAATGAAAACCATGAAATTGGAAATTAAGCTGTAATGGAAATGCAATGGAAAAATGTATCCGTTAAAGCTATTTAATATTTATACTTAAAAATCAGTGTTGAGATGTCTTAAGTCCAAATAAGGAAACATTACTCTGTAGAGTAATATTTTTAGTCGTGGGCTCGAGGAACTGGAACTCATCTGATTGGTTTGAGTTGGAAAGAGTTTAGGTATGCCAGGGGTCCCAGATATTGGGTCTCTCCCCCTGTCCTGATCATATGTTTTGTGATTAATTGGTTTATTGAAAAGTAAGCATCAGTAGGAAAAGGTAGACTGGAAGGGATTGCAATTTAGAATACAGATGTGCTCATTAGCCTGAAGGCAAGAGACTGCAAATCCACACTGGTGCTATGGGGAAAAAATCCCAGTCTTCTGGTAGATCACATCATAGCACAGGGACAGGTAGCTGTGGAGAAATGTATGAGCAGCTGACCGCTGTGAGGCTCAGCAAGAAGAAGTAGGGAGTCTCATTTAACTACTGGGAAGGTCAGGAGCATTAGCAGATTGTGATTTCATTATACAGGAGGCTCATTATCCTCCTATTATGACAGGAAAATAGTCACTTATGAAGTGATTCCTTATCCAGAGAAGAGTAATAGAAATTCAGCCTATAATCTACAAGAAAACCCAGAGTAAATTTCCTATGTTAAAATTATACATAATACTGCAGCTGGCCACACCACAATAGTCCTGATGATTCAATAATAAAAATATAAATAAGAAAACATATGCCTGAAATGTAAAATTTAGTTTCTTTAAATAGCTGGTGAATTAAAAAGGTATCAGAACTACTGTAAAAAAGACTTAGTACAGGGGTGCCTGGGTGACTCAGTCAGTTGAGCGTCTGTCTCTTGATCTCAGCTCAGGTCATGATCTCAGGTTCCTGAGATGGAGCCCTGCTTTGGGCTCTGTGCTCAGCAGGGAGTCAGTCTGCTTGAGATTCGCTCTCTCTCTCTCCCTGCCCCTGTCCCGCCCTGTGCGTGCATGCTCTCTCTCACATAAATAAATCTTTAAAAAAAAAAAAAAAGGTAAAAGGAAACCCAATAAAGCAGAAGGAGACTAATAATAGAGAAGAGTAAATAAAATAAGATTCTCCTTATTTGCAATTGATATGATGGACTCCTGTAGAGCTTAAAAATAGCAAGTCTTAAAGATTTCTTAGAATGAGGAAGAATTCGTATAAAGTGTTTTATATAAAATACATACAAATATTTTCTCTATAAACTGACAGTGGCTACTTAGAAGAAATATGGGGGTGTGTGTTTGGAGGCGGATTCTATTTTCAATAGCGATAAAAATGCTTAAAAATAACTTTACCAAGCACTGTATAAGATGCTCCATAAACACTTGTTGAATAGATGAAAACTATATAACTTTATAGACTTTTAGGTTTTTACCACAAATTGATAGAAATACCATACTTCTGGATGGGAAGGTTGTTTTGTAAAGAAATGGCAGATCTGTGGGACAGAATCAGTTCTGCAACGTGACTCTAGGGTATCAGAGGACTGAGACTATAGGAAATGGCACAAGCCAATAGAGAAAGGGTGGGCGAAATGGAGGGAAAATTGGCTATTTATAAGAATAAAAACACAAGTTAACACCTTGCACTAAAATCAATTTCAGATGGACTAAAAAGAAAAAAATCAAAAAGAGACAATGAAAACAATAGAATTAAGAAAATTTAATAATACTTAACTGATGTTAGGATGGAAGGATTAAGCTTAAAAATACTACTTAAAAGTTAAAAAAATAAAACTTTTAATTTAATAAACACCATTATAAAAGGTTTAACCCAAACTGGGAAAAAGTATTTGAAACATAACAGTAAAGACCTTCCTAACACCAACTAAGAACAAACAAAAAAACCCAAAAACTCCAAGTCCAGAAACAAGAACATATAGTCAGTTCTTAAAAGAGAAAACATAAATGGCTGATGAACATGAAAACAGTCTTTTCAGATTTAAGATATGATATGTATGATAAAGTAGTAGTGAGAGACCATTGTCTAGCAGACAAATGGTATAAATTTATTAAAAAGATAATTTTCAGTATTGCAAAGAATGTGGCAAAACACTCATCTCTCACATTCTCATACAGCTAATGGGAATGAAAATAGTCTTGGTAGTTGACTGCATGTTTTAAAACATTCACAGTTCTCTATCCTAGGAAAATAAATCTCTTAGTTCAAGCTTTTATCAGTAAAAGTTTGTTTTGAGCCTGTGTGTCAGGGATTATGCTGAATGCTTTACGTTGGTCTCATTTAATTCTCATCAGAATCTTGTAAATGTACCTTTAACAGATGGGCCATCTGACACCTAAAGAGATGAAAAACTACTCTGGTTTCAAAACTGCATATCAAACACTAGTAAACAAGAAAGAAGGCACTCTTCCTTGGGAAAGTGCTTGCAATTAAATTAAGAATAAGAGCAAGTTATAAAATTATACTTACTAATTAATTTTCTTAACCTTTTAAAGAAAGAAGAAAGGCAGTAAAGATTAGGAGGTGGTATTCACAAATGCTATAATACCATGTTATTAAAATTAATTATTCCTAAGAATGATGATGATTCTTATTTCTACCCACTTTTCTACAATTAAGGTTAAAAAATTTTTTTTGAGCTGAACTGGAAAAAAAAAGGTGGGAGTGAGGAAAAAGCGATAGGCAAAGGTGAAAAAAAAATCAAAGAACAATCAAAAAAAAAAAAAAAACAACAACCAGCAAAGCCAGTACAAGTACCTTAGGGAATGTCCTTCAATGCTTTGCTTTTGACTTATATGAAAAACCTAATCTGGTTATGCATGTGCAGATTTACACTCTGCTCACCTTCCTTTGCATGTTTCTGTTCCTTTCTGAGGGTGTTAGGGATTTGGTAAGCATCCAGATTATAAGGAACTTTTGTATTTGGAAATAAAAGTTAAGTCATTTGTTCAAATTCAGAAAAGGAGAATAGTGATAGATTTCCCAAGTACTGGTTCAGTTTGCTGTCAGCTAACACTGTTTTTTTTAAATGGACAATATATATTTATAAAACCAATGGGAGGGAATTCTTTATTTTCATCTTTTTTTTAATTAAAAATTCCAAGTTCTTAAAATGCAACTGCAACTAGTTCTGCTTTTCTGTGGTGTTCCAGGCTTACACCAGCCAGTTTGTATCCCTTGTCATGTTTGCCCTCATGATGTGTGATGACAGGATCTCCATGCAAGAGAGACGCAAAGAGATCATGCTTGGATTGAAGCGGCTGCCTGGTACGAAGATCTCACACAGTAGATTTTTGTTGTCTAAGGGAGTGGCTAATGGGTGAAGTCTCTTCTTGTCCTTGAAGCTGTGGCTTTTAGCTACTTAGTCAAAAAGATCTTTCTTCTTTGGCACCTATGTGTTTAAAAATCCTTTACTGATATCACAGAATAGAAACATTGGTCTTTTGTTGGTTGCTGCCAATATATCATTGTTATTATATCAGTTCAGTTTATTGCCCTTTTTTCATAGACTTTGTTAATATTACTTCTTAACAGATTTGATTAAGGAAGTACTGAGCATGGATGATGAAATTCAGAAACTGGCAACAGAACTTTATCATCAGAAGTCAGTCTTGATAATGGGACGTGGCTATCATTATGCTACTTGTCTTGAAGGGGCACTGGTAAGTCTTCTCACTTATAATTATGTCTGTGGACTTAAGGACCTGGTACACAGTCATACTTTTAGATCCAGTGAAATAGGTGGGACTTTTGAAAATGTCTCTGTATTTATGCACTCTGATTTGTTATCTTGAGAAAGGGTCACACAATATTCAAAAGTGAATATCAAGAAAAGTACATTTTACCACCATGATTTGGGTTTAGCAAGTTACTTGGGTTAATTTGTTCTCCAAATGTTAATAAATAAAAGATTAAATTCTCTAGGTGTGGGATTTCATTGAAGTAAACATGAGGCAAGTAAAAGAACAGTTACAGAGTAATAGGAATATATTCATGATCACCTAAAATCTTCACAAAGTTTTTGTGGTTTTAAAATTTCTAATTAATGAACAAACTTCCAGTTACTTGTTGATAGTTCAGAAATAATCTATTAACCTATATTTACAGGTCAGAGGTCCTTTTATACTTTTGGATAAATAGTGACTTCAGACAACAGATTTTTTTTTTTAAGATTTTATTTATTTATTTGACACAGAGAGAGATAGTGGGAGAGAGCACAATCAGGGAGCGAGGGAGAAGCAGTCTCCCTGGTGAGCAAGGAGCCCGACTTGGGGCTCGATCCCAGGACCCTGGGATCATGACCTGAGCCAAAGGCAGATGCTTAACCAACTGAGCCACCCACGCGTCCCTGGACAGCAGATGTTTTATGTAATATTTACGTAAGAATGGGTTTTTGAATAACAGACTGAAGACTAATCTAGTTCTTTCCTGTTAGAAAATCAAAGAAATCACTTACATGCACTCTGAAGGCATCCTTGCTGGTGAACTGAAACATGGCCCTCTGGCTTTGGTGGATAAGTTGATGCCTGTCATCATGATTATCATGAGAGATCACACTTACGCCAAGTGTCAGAATGCTCTTCAGCAGGTGGTTGCCAGGCAGGTAAGTAGGGGCTGCTGGGAGGGCGCTGGGAATTATCTAAGAGTTGGGTCACTAAAGCTTATTTGAATTTCATGACATTTAAAGTGATAGACCAGTGCCTAGTGGGAGGCTTACAAAACATGTTGAGGTTTACGTGTGAAGAATCTGAGATACTCAAGAGTTTTGACAGGACCCAGCTCCTAGATCTCATAATAAGCAGAACCAAGACCAAAACTGAGGTCCTAGTCTCCAGATCCTCTCCTCTCTCTTAGTGTATGCTGCTCCCTTTTAAGTTAATATTCTTAAAAGTATATTTCAGGAGAAACTGGGTTTTACGTTAATATTACAGGTGTTGTGCTTAACTGTGTTTTCTTCAGATCATTTGGCTTTTCTATAAAGCCCTGAAGATAACTGGTAACTGAGCTCGGTATTTCTCAGTTGTGTGAGTTTAAACAAATTACAGAATCCCACAAGGTTTCCGTTTCCTTGGCTGCAAGTGAGCTCAATCTGAGTTATCCCTAGGATTGTGAGTCAGGGAGGCCACGTGTATATGTGCAGTGCAGAATTTGCACGTTCATGTGCAACAGCTCTGCCTTTGCTTACCAGTGATTTTGTGTGTGTGTGTTTCTTTCCCAGGGACGCCCAGTGGTGATTTGTGATAAGGAAGATACGGAGACCATTAAGAACACAAACAGAACAATCAAGGTACCCCACTCAGTGGACTGCTTGCAAGGCATTCTCAGCGTGATCCCCTTACAGCTGCTGGCTTTCCACCTTGCTGTGCTGAGAGGCTATGATGTAAGTGATGGGCCCCTGGAGAAATCTTGAGTTCACGTTTTACCTGGTTCACTCTTAGTTTTCCTTCTAAATTTTTAGCAATAGCATTTGAGAAATCCTTCAGATATTTATCTGTCACCTGTTACATTTGCACGGCCCAGTGTGTAGGTTACGTCATAACCTTTTCTTACCCGCTGAACCTGAAGGAACCTTGGAGCCTACCTCTATGATTGGAGATTTACCTCCCTGGGGAGTCTCCATGTGTTTTCTGTTTCCTTCCGGGTGGCTGGCAGTTCTTTGTTTGGGACGCCCCCGCACATTGCAGGACTTAGCATTCCCAGTCTCCCGGTCATCATGACAGCCCAACGTCCTGCTGTTACACACAAATCATAAATCACTACCAACTGGCATTTCTAGTAAGAAAGGATTTAACGTGGGGAATTGGGCTTACACAGCCATTAGAAGAAGGCCTGGGGAAAGGCAGGGGAGGGAGGCCCCTGTGCCATCCGCCAGGGTAGGAATTGCAAGGAGCCACTACTTTTGGGGGTCTCGGCTGCTGTAGCACCAGGGTGGGCCACTGCCAGAAAGATTCGTGGAAGCTGTTGGCCAGTCTTACATTGGCTGCCTGAGGCCCGTGACCCTCCAAGTGGGCTGCCCCTTTTATAGAGGACCAGAGAAGCACTTCCTGTGCTGAACTGGCTCCTTTAGAATGCTTTTCCCTCATTTCAAGATTCTTAAGATACATTATTTGACTCTATTTTCTTTTTTTTTTTTTTTAAAGATTTTATTTATTTATTTGACAGAGACACAGCGAGAGAGGGAACACAAGCAGTGGGAGTGGGGGAGGGAGAAGCAGGCTTCCCACCAAGCAGGGAGCCCGATGCGGGGCTCGATCCCAGGACCCTGGGATCATGACCTGAGCCAAAGGCAGACGCTCAACGACTGAGCCACCCCGGTGCCCCTTGACTCTATTTTCTTCTTTCTTTCTTTTTTTTTTTTTTTAAAGGTTTTATTTATTTGACAGAGAGCACAAGCAGAGGGGGAGAGAGGGAGAAGGAGGCTCCCTGCTTAGCAAGGAGCCCGATGTGGGACTTGATCCCAGGACCCTGGGATCATGACCCGGGCCGAAGGCAGCTGCTTAACTGACTGAGCCACCTAGGCGTCCCTTGACTCTATTTGTAATGTTAGTTTTCTGTAGTCTGTAATGAAGATGGTTGAGGAACATGTTGTTTTCTGGTTTTATACGCAAAAGTAATTTGCTTAGAGTCACTGCTCCTCTCCCCCCAATCTATACAGTCTTTCAAATATTGCTTCTTTTGCAGGTTGATTTTCCCCGGAATCTTGCCAAATCTGTAACTGTAGAGTGAGGAGCGTCTGCAACTCTGGGCGATTGAGCAACACAAGACACCTTTTGTATTTAACACCTTGATTTAAAATTCACCCTTTGAAGCCTTTTTTAGTAAATCCTTATTTATATATCGGTTATAATTATTCCACTCAATTTGTGATTTTTGTGAAATTACCTCATATTTTTCCAGTAATTTGTGGGGGAGTTTAAATAATGGAATTTATATTGGAATCGTTACCACAGAGATTTAGCTCTCATTTTCTTTAAAGGATGCTGGGTGTTGGATTTCTGGGCCCTTCACTTCAGTCTGGGAGAATTGTGTGTTTTTAGAATAATTGGCCTCTGTTTTACCATGCTTCTATTCATTCAGCCCAAAGAAAGTGGTGTAGTACATTTAATTTGGAATATCTAAAGCCAGTGGCAATGTATGCTAATGATTGGACATTTAATTAAGGTTTTGTTAAGTTTACATATAAAGAGAAGATGCTGTGATTTGTTTTTAAATTTGTGTTTTGTTTTTAAATCAAACTGTAGAACTTAAAAACTGAAAGCTTTTCTTGGTGGGATTTCTGTGTAAGTTAGGTTAACCTGAGTGTCTCAGACCTGTTGCTTGTTATCTGGAGGTCGAGTTAATGTAGGAAGCTCGAGTATGGTAGTACATTGGTTTTCTCCACTCTTAACAGCAAGTATTTGCACAATTTCATAGCAGAAACTTTAAATTTGAGCTGCTTTGGACAACTGACAACATATGTTTTCTTGTGAAGATGGGGGACCTCCAGGTGGGGTGTCCTACTCCTAGTTTTTCCATCTTCTAAAACTGATTTTTATTTCCTTGTATCTGTAGTTTTTTGTTTCATGTGTTTTTTTTAATGACTTGTTCTTTGAAATCACCACACAAAGTTGCTGTCATATGTCTGAGATTAAATCAGTACTGATACATGTAGAATTCTCTACTTTTTGTCCCAAGGAAAAATTTCCTGCAGTGAATTTTAACTTTTTACTGCCTTTTTGCATAAAACTAGTACCATCCTGCCAGTTGGAAGTTCTTTGTAGTTTGGAAGATTTGCAAGTCTTTTGACTAATCATTTGACTATAAATGTATATGCTGAGCTAGGCTTAGAGAAAGAAAGCTGTATGCTTTACACTGATGCTAGTGAAGGATTGCATTGAATATAGTATTATTTCCTAGGTATATTTCTCTATTGTCTGTGTTTTACCCCTGAAATATATTTAGGAATGAAGAAGATACAAATAAGTAAAGTGATATCAAGGTGCCTTCAGCTGGTTTACGTCAGAAATGGAAATTAACAATTTAGATTAAAATAGAGTAGAATATTAGTTTGACATCCAACATGTTGTGAGTAGTAATTTCTTTATGGGGCTTTTTGGCCAAATCTTGGGGGTTATAGGGCAGTGTGTTTGTGTTTTGGTGAAGTCCTTCTCTTTCTAGAGTTTTTGCCTTTCAATTGTGAAGGTAAGATATTTAGCATAATTATTTAAGTAAATTCATGTTTTTTCTTTTTTCTGTGTTTGAATTTCTTGGTGAGGTTAAGATTTTCTAATAGCTATTGCTGCAAGGAGAGCACAGAATTCTGCTTGTGTATTAGGGTTAGAAAAATACTTTGCATATTTTGAGGTACTTTGGAAGGACTGTCCTTCTAGGTGGAGACTAGAAACCTGGTTGTTTTTAAAAATAAAATAAGTTTACTATTGATATCCTATATATATGTAGCTACTATAGCTATATTTATCCATTTTAATTGTTTCTGAGATTATTTTGTTTAGGCCTGCTAGTTTTAGTATGTGTGTAGTGTCATTTCTTATGTTAAATTAGCATTTTGTGTCTGTGATTTGTATGGGTTTGTAGCATTTCTTAATGGTCTGAAGTTTGAGTCAGCATTCTAAGTGAACAAATACGTGAAGTCAATCATTAGTTTTCAGTTTCTCTTTTTCTCTTCCTCTTTGTCTCTCTCTCACACACACACACACACACACACATTTACACTTCAAACTAGGATAAGTTCTGAACTGGATATCAAAAGCTGATATTGAAGAACAAAGAAGTGATATTTTCCAAATAAACATGGTTTCTTCTTATTGTCCCTCTTGCTTCTTACTTTATTTAATGTAGTGATTTTTAAATGCTTTTATGTATTAATTATGAACACAAAAAAAGATACTCTAATGAGGCAAATCACTAATAAGTGTGCATGCCCAGTTAAAATGAATGTAATATTAACAGATAAGAAAATCTGATTTTTCCAGAAAGGTATGCTACAAAAGGAGTCTTTTATATAAAAAGTTCTTTCTTGTAGTACATTTAAAGTTTAAATTCACTCATATGTAACTTAGAGTTCCTTACCTCAGCCATGAGCCCTTTTTAGGCTGGGGTCATGGGTAGCATCTCATACATGGCCCAGTAAATGATGGTTACTTTGCAGTCAGTTGGCTTTTCTGTCTTTTTTTAATTCCCTGTGTCAGGAATGAATGGGAAGAGGAAAATTAACGTTCACTGTTTTCAGTGTGCTGTAATTGTGTCAGCATCCTTTTATGGGCAAGTCACTGTGCCAGGAACTGGAAAGGACATCTTGTTGAAAGCAAAGTCTGCTTGTCGGGCAGACTTATCAGTGGTGAAGACCAAGATCATTGGGTGAGGGAGTGGAAAAGTGGAGGTGAGCTGTTAAATAATGGTCCAAGTTTAGGGGCGTATAATGTTCACAAGAGGTGGAAGATGCATTTTGTAGAGTGCACTCTTACCGCACACTGCGTAGACCATCTATCTGTGGTATGCTAAGGAAGGTAAAGGCGAAATGCACAAGGAGAAAGAAGTAAGCATCAAATACTACTCAAGGGGAGTGGACACAGGGTGGTGTGCAGCTGGGGCTGGGGGTTAAGAGAGCTAACACAGATTTTCTCTCTTAGTTTTGTGAAAAGTTGTTTCTAAGATGATACCGTCTTATCCTTCTGAATACAGGTCTGTTGACTTAAGCTAATCATGAGGACAGGAGGAAAAGGAGCCCTGTTTTTTTGTTTTTTTTTGTTTTTTTTTAGCTCTTTGGTAATGTTCATTTGGCACTTACTTATATTGTCTTCAAAGCAGGAAGACCGGCTGAAATGTTTGCTTTAACAAACATATTTTAAGAAGTCCTTTGGAGTCAGTGTTTTATCTGTTTAAAAACTTAGGATATACTGTAACAATAAAAGGGAAAGATTAATGTTAACTATTGTATGTGACAAGTGATTTTTCTAAAAAGCACAATGTCACTGAAAAGTACTTGTCGAAAAAGAAATCATAGCTCACATGGAATTTGTGAAGGCCAAAGAAATGGAAGGGAATGGTAAAAGAAGGTATTTTAGCCTTATGTTCACATATTTAGTGGGTTTTGTTTACCAGACTGCCAGATAAGAGTGTCTTCTTCATGAAAACATACTACAGATTACTTTCTTTGTTCTTCATGTTAGAATCTCAAGTTTAGAAGAATTAACACATCAGTTTTTTCTCACAGTATTTAAGGATTATTAATATATCAGTATTTCCCTAGCTTGGTGAGTTTAACCATATCTTCAGATCTATGACATGACAACCAATAGGACTGATAACATTTGCTTTGAACCAATAATTTCCAGGCTTAACATGAAAATCATAGTTGACTCGCAAGATTGTAAAGTTATGCTGTATTAACTTGTAAGTCTGTAATAGCTTGATATCAGTGTTATGGAATCTACCATAAATGATGGCTAATGAGAATGTTTTAGGAAATTCTTGAATTACCTTTCTTATGGTACTCAGAATGAATACAGAAATGATCCTGTTAGCTTTTTAAACGTTCTGTGGTTGACTTTTTGTGTTTGTTTTTTTTTTTTGTCTTTTTCTTTCTTTTGCTTAAATAAAACTTTTGGTATTTGTTTAAATTATACTGCTTGTGAGCTGGAGATTTTAGAATCTGCTTTGTTTCAGTTTTCTGTTCTTTAAGATAAATGTGTAGTTTACTGAGCCATTTGGTCATTCCTTCCTCATGTCTTGTAAGTCCAATAACTCTAACCTTGAACTGTGAATAAATTACCAAAAGTTACTGAGAATTGCATTTTGAAGCAATTTGCCAATATTTGAAGTGTATACATGCTTGTAGGTGTGTTAAAGATTGTATTGCACTAAGAATGTAGCCAGTGTTTAGTTGTTAGTAAACTTTTCTGATGCTAGAATTCATTACTATTGCTTTTTAAAGTAGAGATGATTGGATAAATATAATCAAAAGTTTCACGTCTCCACTCCAACTTGCCAATTGTTTTAGAAAGGATCATTAGATAAAACAAAGGCTCTACTTTTTGATGTCATACTTCATAGATATTATACCTTCTCAAGTCTTGTAAAAATTTTTTGCGAGAATATTGTTTCTAGCGAATTTCTAGTGTATACAGTGATCAACAGCTTTGCGTAAGTGAATTGATAGTTGCAAAAGAAGGATATTTAAGATGGGTGAGTAGCAAGACTGCATGTACTCTAAAGTTTCTGTAGTATCTGGCAATCTGTTAATTATAGAACAAAGATTCCTTTTACAGGATCCTTTTATAAACAGCAAGCGAAAATCTCTATCCCTAGTGCTTACAGCCCTCGCTGTGTTCTGCAGGAGACAGAGTTATGCCAGGGTAGTTTGAATGAATAGCTGTGCTGTTTTGCCTTCTTGTAGATCCGAGCCCAGTCTCATCTCTGTCTCCATGTTGCTCTGCAGCAAAGCCTGGGGCTGCCAGACAGCGTGGGTCATTTTTTCCATGGGCCACATTTTGGCATAAAATCCAGCTTTACTTTTATTAAACAGTTATCTTTGAATTCTCCTCAGTTGGCTAGGAGTATTTACTGAGTACTTACTAAAGGCCAAGAAATAATTTCCCTGAAAATTTAGAGGCCTGTTTTTCATTGGAGTGGCATTTAAGAAAAAGAAATTCTTAACTTTTTTGGATGAGGAAAAGAAGTAAGAGTTCAGTTTCTCTCATTAATCTGAAGGTAAATAGTTCTCCTTCATTTTACAAAATGATGTAGGAAAAAAATGATGTAGGAACTTTATTAGCTTAAACATCCTGGGGCTATAAACATCTTGTAATAATATACAGACAGGTTGCCAGGTTATAGGTTATTTAACCATCTTACCCTTCCCTGGAAGTATGTGTGTAATAAGATAAATTCATTATTCTCTTTCTGGTTAGCATGTGTACAAGAGATTATTTCCAAGATTGAAAGGCCACGTTTTGAACTTCATACTAACATGATTTATTGGCTCAAATTCCAAGATTCACGTATGTGTTTTCTCATATGTATTTCTCCTAATGCTGTTATGTAGCCATATTTTCCTTTTCATATTTCAAGAGATTTTTGAAAATGAAGTATGGATGTACAGTTGAAAATATGGAATAAAAAATGGAGCTTGTAAACAATTAGAGAAACGCTTTTTGGATAGAGTTATGGTTCTTTCCTTCCACTCACTTATCAGTCTACCTCTGTTTGTATAAGGTTAAAAAGACTGTTTATACGTATTAGGATGAAAGCTTTTGGCATGTTTTCATATGCTTTTAATTTCTGCAGTATACTGAGTGATTTAGAAGCATCCAACAATTTAAAAACCAGAGCTTTAATAAGGTGTATCCTGGAACTCACAGCTGTTGCACACCTTGGGGAGTCTTTAGGAGCTCATTTTTGCCTCTATCACCCAGCTTTATGTGTTCCGAAATGGAGGTGAATACAGTGAGGTCTTAGAAGGAGAATTGCCGGGATATTTATGGAGAATTCTAGATTCATTATACCTAAAGGGGAAATGACCCCGTGGTTCTTAGCTAATACATTCTTAATTTGTGGGATGCAGAAGTGGCTGTCCATTAATTTTAGGTTGCCCTACAACATCCAGGCTGCAAAGGTCCACATGTACCAGGGTCACTACAGTTTGTTTCTGCCAATAGCCCCTTTCAGGTGACACTCTTGTCCTCATATTGTCCTCACTGATGCCAGTGTGGCATTCTCAGTCGTGGATGTTCTGTGGCAAGTTCAGTGTGAGATGGACTTGTTAGACAGCTTGGTCTTCAAACAGTGCCCCTAATGGGATGGAGAATTTCTGAGACAATGAATGCTGGTAGTTCCCGGGCAAGGGAAATAGTAAATTCAAGTTTCTGGTAGACTTGAATACAGGTAGCCAATTCGATTCATGGGGGCTTTTTTCCCCCTATTTGCTTTGTATGTAGAGTTGTTTTGAAATATTGAGCATATTTGCTTTGACTTTTATCTCTTGCTTTCCTAATTTTGTATTTATCCTTTGAATAAAATGTAAACCCAATATTGAATTTACTTTTACTGCTGCTGTGTAGAAACCTAGGAACTGTGGGAAATCCTTGTAAGATTTTTATCTCATGTCCTTGGTTATTAACTTGGACCCATGTATTGTTACTAAAGTTCAAAGTATTTCTTTGTTTGAAAGAAACGAATTAACTTTAAAACTTCTTAATATGTAGGGTTTTTGTGTTTTTTGTTGTTTTGGGGTTTTTTTTTTTATGTTTAAGTGAAGTGGCCTCTGCAAGCAGAATTGACTTTACTGACACAACATTAGTAACTTAAGTGCTTTGAGTTATTTTCTCAGCAGAGACATATTTGTGTAAATTTGTTTGCGAATGCCTGGTTCCAGGAGTGAAGGGGACAGAATCTGGAGTTCCCCAGAACAGACAAAAGCTAGCTGACTTGTAGACACATTGGTCTCCTCAGCTTGGCCTTCCTGAAGGGTGACATTCCTATGTTAATTGTCCTCAGTTCCTTTGGGCTCAATATGCTGAAACTGAGAAAGGGCAGCTCTGAGAATGTTGACATCCTATCAGAAGATAAGGCTGATTTTTAAGTTATTTTTTATTTTATTTTATTTATTTATTTTTAAAGATTTTTAAGTAATCTCTACACCCCAGGTGGGGCTTGCACTCATGACCCTGAGATTAAGAGTCACATGCTCCACCAACTGAGCCAGCCAGGTGCCCCTTAAGTTATTTTTTAAATTAAAGAAATCTGTCATGGCTTGGCTTATGCCCAAATAGGATGCCTCAAAACTTGGATCATTATTTAAATGGACAACCCTTCACAAAACAGTTCTTGCTTTTCCCTTCTTACCTTGCGCTGCCCAGCGTCCTAGGTACTCTAGGTCCATAGATCACATGAGAAGGGCTTGTGGACAAATGGGCTCTGCTTAAATGACACATAATATTTCTCATTGCTTAAGCACAATGACTTTGCCATAGGAGTTGCTTAATAAAATGCTTGCTGACCGTAAGTTACACTCGCATTTTTATTATTTTTTCTTTCAGTGCCTTTACTTGCTGAGTTACGAGTTTGATCAGGAAATCATAAATCACTACCAACTGGCATTTCTAGTAAGAAAGGATTTAACGTGGGGAATTGGGCTTACACAGCCATTAGAAGAAGGCCTGGGGAAGGGCAGGGGAGGGAGGCCCCTGTGCCATCCGCCAGGGTAGGAATTGCAAGGAGCCACTACTGTTGGGGGTCTCGGCTGCTGCAGCACCAGGGTGGGCCACTGCCAGAAAGATGTGTGGAAGCTGTTGGCCAGTCTTACATTGGCTGCCTGAGGCCCATTAACCTGTCTGCAGTTTACCACCGGAGAATCCTTATTTCTACTTCTCTTTTCCAAATTCTGTACAAGTGGCTCTCGCTGGTGAAATCTAACTGGAACTCTGTGGCTAAGTTTCCAGTAGAAGGGAGAACTTATATATTGACCAGTGCAGTTCACCCTTTGGATTACCCAGCATCTCTACTCACCCTTGTATCCATACGTAAATTTCCAAAGAAGAGAAAGAATATCGTGGTTCTGCTTGACATGCTGCAACTATCCCTGTTGGAATAAAGACACACCCTCTTCGCAAGAAGAGAAGATACATTTCACAAATTTCTCCCTATGAGGTGTTCACTTTTCTCCCTTAGTCACAATCCCCCTTGATATAAAAGTCATATAGTCTGGGGCACCTGGGTGGCTCAGTCGGTTAAGCATCTGCCTTCGGCTCAGGTCATGATCCCAGGGTCCTGGGATCGAGCCCCGCATCGGGCTCCCTGTTCGGCGGAGAGCCTGCTTCTCCCTCTCTGCCCCTCCTCACTGCTCGTGCTCTCTCTCACAAATAAATAAAATCTTTTTTTAAAAAAAGGTCATATAGTCTTAAGTAGAATAATTAGAAGGGGGGAGGGGGCAAAGTTAATTACATAAATGTATATATATCAAGACAAGACAACATACAAAGCCCTCATTGTACAACTAGTCAAGAGTATATAGTTTATGTAAATCTATACAAGTACACACACAAATATGTACATTTTCTCTTCCATTACCCATTTTGTGTTCCCTTTGCCCTCAGCAAGCACCCAGGTCATTATGATTCTTGGCCAGAACTTTTTGCATCTCTCTCTTTTAGCTAGGTTGGGACCCTCCCTCCCTTCTCCATTCTTGTACCTAAATTGGGGGCCCATGTGTGTAGAAAGGTGGCAGCAGGAATTTCTGGCAATATTGTAGAGATAGCGTGAGGAAATTCCCGAGATAGAAAAGTTAATGCTGGATAGAAAAGACAAAAGCAAACTCAAGGAAAAAAAATTCTCCAAAGCAAAAAGTAAGAAAGCATTACTTGGAGAAGTACCGAAGCCCATGGCAAACCCGGGAGGGGGGCGTCTGTTGATCTCCCGGCGGCTAGATCTTTTCAATGCTAATGGGCTGCACATGGGGGCCAGGAGACAAAGCCACAGTCTGAAGAAAGGAGGGCAAGTCAGCAAAATGGAAAACATTCTTGGCAAAAGAGTAACCCAGGAAGTATGTCAGAGAGGGTTATGACGAGGGGAAAAAGCCTTGGTTGTGGTGGGTGGGGGATGAGTCTCCCACGGGAATTCCTTACCACAGCTAGACCCCAGGCAGGTTTTGTGTCCATGTTGGCCCCACCTGTTTGTCCTAAAAAGCCTCAGTCTGAGAGATTATTCACAGTGACCCTGAGTTGATGGAGCCCTCAGGCACCTGGCAGAAGCAAACCTGAATGTTCTGGAGCAATGAACTTGCAGTTATAAGCCTCAAAGCCTTCCCATGAGTATTCCAAGAAACAAGCTCAAAATGCAAAATCACAAACATGCTATCCTAAGTGAGAAGAAAATGACAAATGACAGAATCAAATTTATAGACTATTGCTCTAAGTGGGAGAGAGATTTGACAAAGAAGAAGCTGTCCAGCATTTTGACCACAGAGGCAGATTCGGGAAGGGTACACAGCCACCAGAAGCTAAAGAGACAAAAAATGGATTTTTCCCTAGAGTCTCCAGGGGGAGTGTGGCCCTACCAACACCTTGATTTCAACTCTGTGATACCGATTTTGGACATTTGGCCTCCAAAACTGTAAGAGAATAAATCTGTTGTTTTAAATCACCAAATGTGTGGTAAATTACTACAGCAGCGCAGGGAAATGGATTGAGAGAACTTGCACATCTTCTGTTGTATTTATTCCTAGGTACTTGATAATTTTCTTATAAATGTTATTTTTTTAAAAACTGTACAAAACATTAAAAAATTTACATTTTCTAGCTCTTTTTTTGATGGTATAGAACATTCAATGAAATTCTGTATGTTGACTTTGGTTTGCTGCAACTTTGCTAAATTCGCTTATTTCTCAGTGGATATTTTCTATGTGCACCATTATGTTACCTGTGAATAATACCGGGTTTGTTTCTTCCCTACGAATACTTACACATTAAAAAAAATTTTTTTGTCTTACTCTGCTGCCCAGGACATCCAGTACAATTTGAATAGAAATGGTAATGGGAACTTCTTTGTACTTCTAATCTCAAAGGAAAACTTTCAACATTTTACCATTAGGTATTATATTTGCTGTAGATTTTTGTAGACACCCTTTATCAGGTTAAGGAAATTTTTTGTTGTTTTGTTTTTTGTTTTTCCCTATTCTTAGTTTGCTAAGTGTTTGTCTTTAGATCCTATATGGCTGCTTTATCAAAAGCTACTGACATCACATTATTTTCCTCCTTTAATCTGTTAATGAAACGGGTTTGTTGCCTTCCTAGGAGAAATTCAATCTGGCATTTTTAGGCTTTAAATTTCCCCTACAAATTGCTTTACGTTGTGATGTGTCATATTTGGGTTGCTCAGTGCAAGATATATTCTTATTTCCATTACGAGTTCTTTGACTCATAGGTTACTTAGACGTGTTTCTTAATTTTCAAACATACCATTCTGGTTACCATTTTGTTATTGGTATCTAACGTGGTCAGAGAACATGCCCTGAGTTATTTTAATCTCTCCGTACTTGCTTTTAGTATGGTATATGGTCAGTTTTTTCAGGTGTTGTGTGTGTGCTTGAATTTAGTGTATGTATTAATGCTGTTGCTGGAATGGTATTCAATAGGCCCATTAGGGTTGTTTGTCCGTTGTGTTGGTCAGATCTTCTATACCCTTGTCGGTTGTTTTGTTTGCTTGTTCATTCAGTTCCTGAGATAGGTGTGTTAACGTCTGCGATGGTGGAATTCTCCCATCTCTTCTCATGCAACTGCTTTGTAGATTTCTTCTCATATATTTGCTTTACATATTTTGATGTTATAATGAGATGTATGCACATTTAAAGCTATTGTTGATGAATTGAAAATTTTTCTTATGAAAGAACCCTCTTTGTCCTCTAGTTATAAACTTTTACTTTAAAATTCAGCTTGTCAGAGCACCTGGGTGGCTCAGTTAGTTAAGTGACCGACTCTTGGTTTGATCTCAGGGTCATGAGATGGAGCCCCACATCAAGCTCTACGCTTAGTAGGGAATCCACTTGGGGACACTCTCTCTCCCTCTCCCTCTGCCCCTCGCCTCCCCACTGCTCGCTAGCTCTCTCTCTAAAATAAATCTTTTAAAAAACGAAATAAAATTCAGCTTGTCACCTGGTAATATAGTCACAGCAACTTTGTTCTGGTTAATATTTGCATGATACATTTTTTCATCCTTTGATTTTCAGCCTTTTTGTACCCTTATGTTTTAGATTTAAACTCTTATAAACAGCATATTATTGGAGTTTTAAAAATCCAATTTGAAATGTTTGTCTTTTAAATGGATGATTTAGTTAATTTACATTTAAAAACATACCTTAGGTTCATATCTATCATTTTATTTTGTGCTTTTCTTTTTGACCTGCCAGTCCTGTTTGGTTTCTCTCCCCCTCTCTCTTCCTCTCTTTCTTGTCTCTTCTTGGATTAAATATTTTTTCATCATCCCATTTTTTCACTTCTGTTTGTTTGGATATTACAGTCTGTTTTTGTTCTTTTAGGGGTTACTGTAGAAATTACAATATTCATTTATTAGGAATCAAATTCTAAAGTTAATCTACATTGTCCTTCTTGCAGATTATGGAAGGACTTGAGGAAATTTTAACTTCATTTCCCTCCTCCTAATATATGTTAACATGTTATTTTTAACATATATTTTAATTA